AAAAAAAAAAAGACAAGATAAAGACATTTGTAGTCATACAAAAGCTGAAACAGCTCAGCTGGGCGTGGCTCAGCGGCTGAGCATCAACCTAGAATCCAGGAGATCGCAGTTCAATTCCCAGTCAGTGCACATGCCTGGGGTTATGGGCTCGATCCCCAGCAGGAGGCGTGCAGGAGGCAGCAGATCAATGACTCTCATCATTGATGTTTCTCTCTCTTCTCCTCCCTGTCTCTGAAGTCAATAAAGATTTATATATTTTTTTAAATTAGAAGAGGAAAAAAAAAAAGGCTGAAACAATTTATCATCACTAGACCTGAGCTATAAAAATTATTAAAGGAAGTCTTTCATGTAGAAGAAAATCTGGATCAACAAAAAGGAATGAAGAGCACCAGAAATAGTAACATGAGTAAACATAAAAGATGTCCTTTTTCTTTTTTTAAAAAATGTATCTTTATTGATTTCAGAGAGAGGAAAAGAGAGGGAGAGAGAGAAACATCAATGATGAGAGAGATGTCATTGATCGGCTACCTCCTGCATGCCACCCACTGGGGATCAAGCCTGCAACTCAGGCATGTGCCCTGACCAGGAATCAAACCCTGATCGCCTGGATCCTAGGCTGACGCTAAAGAGCTGAGCCACGCCCAGCCGGGCAATGTCCTTTTTCTTAAACTTCTCTTAAAAATAACTGACCATTTAAAACAAAAATAACAAAAATGTATTTTGAGATTTCTAACACATCTAAAGTATAAAACGAAAAGCACAAAGGAGAGAAAAAATGGGAATATCAGAGGATGCCTGGGGATGAAAAGGAGGGAGACATTTACGTTTAACCGACACAGCAAAAGAAATAGGTACTGCTGTTATCTCCATTTAAAATAGGGGAAAAAAGGGCCTATACTGCTCAGAGAGAGAGATAAAGTGACTTGCCTAGGGTACTGGTCAGAAACTGGCAGATTTCAACCAGAACTGGCTGCCTTTACATATTTAACGTTGCTTTCGTGGTTATGTTACCAACATCTCCCTCCCTCTCAGTCATCCAGCCTCTTAGCAGCCACAGGCTCGATCCGGAAGCAATCTTGCCTTGGGCAGATAAGGGTGCCCTTACCTGTCTCAGCTGCCCCAAGGATGTCCAGTTTATCACGGATGGCAGGTGCCAAGGTCAGAGCTTGGATTGGTGTGGGTGCAGAGAAGCCTAGAAAACTGAGAGCACGGAGAACTGGCTTGGGTACAAACAGATCCTTCCAAGCTGATACATCTGCCTTCTGGTCATGCACTTCCGGCATCCATGTCTTTGCCTTTTTGGGCACCTTTGGAGTAGTTCCCTGGGAAGGCTCCGATTTTTTTTTCCCTTTCTTTTTCTTCCTTTTAAGAACAGTCAGGGCCGGTGTTCCTGATGCCATCTCCCCTACCTCTGGATCAGGACAAACTGTGCCATCTCCCTGGGGCTCTGGCTCAGCATCTTTGACTTCAAACTCTTTCTGAGCACTGGTTCTTTCAGTTTCCACATCTTTGCTCTTCTTCAACTTCATCTTTTTCTTTGAAGAGCTACACTCTCCTTCCTCCTCTCCTTCTGAAACAGCCTGGGCCTTTCTCTTCTTGGGCTCCTCCTTTGAGAAGAGACTGGAGGGATTCTTGGCAGGGGAGACTAACCGGTAATCTGTCAGTTCCTCAAAGCATACCAGGTCATCCATCTGTCCATCTGCAAACACGTTTGGGTCGATCTTCACCTGCTTCCATTTTCCCACAACCTTGATTCCCTTCCTCTGAAATCTGCCACAGCTCGGTGACTTTGGCCTTGATTTTGTCCCCTTCGACTTCATGGTTGCTGAAAAGGAGAGAGAAACGCTTCATTACATTGGCAACTGAGAAGCGTAGGATTCTGAGACAAGAAATGTTTTCTAAGCAGCCTATCGAATGTCAGGCCCTGCAAAGAAGTGAAGATTCCAAGATGGCTCTAACACTGATGCTCCCGGCTAGAGAAGATCAAAGGAAGAAATACACCCACAAAGCAGGCGGCTTGGCCTGGAACAGGGGGGACACAGAAGACGGAGCCGAGATACATGAGCTAGACTGGGTTTGGAGTCCAGATCCAATAGTTACTATTTGTGTGCCTTTAGAGCCCTGCTTAATCCTCTCTGAACCTCACTGTTCTCATCTTTTTAAAACGAGCAAGGGCCTAATAATATCTAAGTCACCAAATGTTTGATACAAAGCTCGCCCACCTGCCACACCCAAGCCACTTTGAAGGCAGAATAAAAATGTGGGGTTGGGGGGGGGCCAGCTTTATTACAAGTGAACAGAGCTTCCTTCTCAAGTCTTACCTCGAGAGGGCAAATAAATGGCTGTTCCACCACACTGGCCTTTGCCAAATAGCTTAAAACCATCCAGCTTTTTCATTCCATGTGAAGTGACTTAAAAGCCATTTAAGCACAAGTAGTTTGAGTGGAACTCGATCCATGTCGCCCCTTTTCGGGAAGGCTAAGAAAACTGGCATCCTGTAGAAAAGACAAAGGTGAACTCTGGTTCAAAGCCGGGCCACCACTCGCCAGCTCCGAGTCTGTGCTGGACATACGGATGATCTCGGTGAGCCTCACTTTCTTC